GGCCCCCCCCCCCCCCCCCGCCGACTGCTCAGGCCATTGGGAAGGTGTTACATGGCTCCTTCCTGTCCTGGAGCTCAGTTCTCCAACCTTCCTGTGGGCTCTGTAAGGGCCAGGTCTCCCGCCCATGCCTTCTCTTCCTGCTTCAGTGAAGCGGAGTGCGTTTCTGTCGTTTGCCACCTGGCGGGCGGAGCTCTCAAGACATATTTGTTGAATGACTGGAAGGGTGGGCCCCTTCTCACAGGTGACGGATCAGACTGCAGCCGGATGCCTCCTGCCCTCTTGTTAAATATCACTCGTACTTTTGACATGTTTCCAGGGGAGGCTCCGTCCACACAGGTCTGTCCCTCCCTCGAGGGGAGAGACGCCACCTTCGGTTTTACTCCTCGAAGCCCAACCATCCCCACAGAATGAGGCTGAGCCAGGGCCCGGGACTCCCCAGCTAAGACAGCTGAGTTGCAGCTTCAGCGCAAGCAGCCGCGGGGAGGAACCCAGAGGACACCCACCATGAAGAGGGACACAGGACCATTTGCTGTCACTAGGGCAATGGGTTTCGTGCTCTTGGGAGCCTGGTAAGGAACATCAGGCCCTGGTGCTTCTGAGGTGGGGACAGCCCCGATGAGCAGGGTGAGCAGCCTTAGGGAAGAACAGGCGGGGGCACCTGCAGAGGCCAGGACACGCATGTGTGACTCACCCTGCAGAGGAGGACACACATGTGCGGCTCACCCTGCAGAGGCAGGGCACACATGTGCGGCTCACCCAGCAGAGGAGGACACACGTGTGGCTCACCCCGAGGCAGACAAGGCAATGGGCGAGAAGCCCGGCCTCGCCCTACTTGGCAGCAGGCTCTGCAGCCTGGCAGCCCAGGACTCAGGACTCAGAAAGCACCTGGCAGGGACAGCCAGGCACCTGGAGACCATGTGAGCCCTGACAGGACTCGGCCAGCGTGGGCCAGCCAGGTGTTCCACGCTGAGTAAGCAACAGATAAAAGTATGTGCTAGGCAGGCAATGCCAGCATTTAATATGCTCCAGATAAAACCCAACAAGAACTTTATCGATTTCAGAGAAGGGAGGAGAAAGACAGAAACATCAATGATGAGAATCACTGATCGGCTGCCTCCTGCGTGCACCCTACTGGGGACTGAGCCTGCAACCCGGGCATGTGCCCTGACCAGGAACAGAACCGTGACCTCCTGGTTCACAGGTCAACACTCAACCCTTGGGCCATGCTGGCCGGGCTCAACAAGAACGTTTTGCTTTGGCCTGGAAACCTGGTCACGATAGAGACCACCAGCTCTCTGCCTTAGAAGTGACAGGGACTCGCCCTCCCAGTTTCACCTACTTTTCATAAAAAGCAAGAATACAAGTATTTCCCACCATCAAGTTGTTGTGAGGATCAAAGGAGATGAGTAACATCCAGCACCCCGCACGGTGCCCACCTGGTTGTAAGCTCTGCGCCCCCCCCCCCCCCACAGGCAACTTGCTGATGGTGGTCCCGAGGACTGATCTGGCTTCTTACACGACAGGGTACAACCACCCCTAAGCCCACCTTTCCCAAAAAGGTGGCCGTCCTCGTGACTGAATAGCATCAAAGAAAACATCCTGAAGTTATATATCTAGGGCTTTGTTTGTACTTTCACTGGACAACTCTGTGTTTGACAAGGCACCGCACTAGATGCTTTAGGACAGTGGTTCTCAACCTTCCTAATGCCGCAACCCTTTAACACTTGGAGTGCAGGAAACGAGTTAAGTCGGCTCGCGTGAATTGCGCGTACTCCGCGGGAGCCGTCTTTAACTCGGTTCATATAGATTTGCGGTGGAGTGCGGGAAACGTGTAAACTCGGGCCGATTGTAACTGCGTATTACCAAATATTTGTTTGTAATCCACCCTTTTGGTGGATGGAACAAAACCAAAAGACAGAGCCATCTTATATTTTGGCGGGAAATTCACCCGCACTCCAAGTGCACAACAGTTCCTCATGTTGTGACCCAACCATAAAATTATTTTCGTTGCTACTTCATAACTGTAATTTTGCTACTGTTATGAATCGTAATGTAAATATCTGATATGCAGGATGTACTTTCATTGTTACACATTGAACATAATTAAAGCATAGTGATTAATCACAAAAACAGTATGTAATTATGTATGTCTTTTCCGATGGTCTTAGGCGACCCTTGTGAAAGGATCGTTCGACCCCCAAAGGGGTCGCAACCCACAGGTTGAGAACCGCTGCTTTAGGAGAAGATAAAAGGTACATCAGACCTCGAGCTAGTCTGCGTGGGGAGGGACTGGGAAGATGAGTTGTGAGCGAGGGCAAGGATGACACAGCAGGGCCGGGGCGGCTCCGAGGACGCGAAACCTGACCGGGACCTGATGGCTGAGGAAGGCTGAGACCGCGTGCATGTCAGGGAGAGGCCTCCGGCGGAGCAGCCGGAGAGAAGGCCCGACGTGGGGAAGCAGGGGGCTGTCCCCTTCAGAGCCCGCGCTCAGGCCTGGCCGGGAGCACGGTTGTTGGAGCGTCGCCCCGACATGTTGAGGTTGTGCGTGGGACCCCCAGCCAGGGCACAGACAAGATCAACCAATGAATGCGCACATGGGTGGAACAACAAACTGATGTTTCTCTGTCTCAAACCAATAAATTAAAGAAAAAAGTTCCACATCAGACTCTCAGCCACCTGCGCCTTGCTTACGCTTCTGAATGAGATGACGCCCCCTGGGGTTTCCAGTTTTATTCTTCTGAGAAGCAACAAAACAAAACAAAAAACAGCCAAGACCAAGAGCGGGTAAGCACCAGGCAGGAATGTAAACGGGCTTTGCGGTGAACACGGCCTGTGTTAATCCGCAGAACTTCCGGATCCGCATTCTCCTGCGTCTACTCTCCCAGTGTCAGACCTGTCCCCACGCCTGAACCCCTTCCTGCCAACGACACGCGAGGGCCTTGGGTTTCAGGCCTGAGAATGCCGCGGGCTGCCCAGACCCACTCCCCACGCGTGGCCGGGAACAAGCGACGGCTCTCCACAGCCTGTCCTGTCGGTGGTCCCTCCCAGGGAGCGCAGGGGCGAACGGCTGTGGGCGGGACGCCCCATTTCTCCCCAGAGAATCCTACTAGGAAGTCTAAGGGGCACGACCCCCAAAAGATGAGTTTATTTCCAGGCGGTCTTTGAAAGGTAAGACTGACCGACTGGAGCGAAAGCCAGGCTGCACTTCCCTCTCTCATCAGCCCCGTGTGGCAGGAGGGTGACAGCTTTGGACGAGGAAAGAAGGGGGCAGGCTGGGTGGGGGCGGGGTTAATAGGCTGCCTGCTCGGTGTCCCCCACAAGCAGGACAGAACCTCGACACCTGACCCTGGTCACCAGGAAGAGTCTGTGTTTATCTCCTCGGACGCATTTCAGAAGCTCCATTCTGGGTGGGACTGGCTCCCAAGCCCTTGAAACTCTCCAGGTCAGAATACAGGTGTCCTCGCTCGGGAGCCATGGAAGAAGGCAGGACCACGTGGAGAAGGAGCAGCGCGAGCGGCGTAAGTGCCTCTAAGCTGAGGGACGGGCTGGCCGAGGCGAGGCCTGGAGGAGGAGAGGCCTGGAGGTCAATCCTTGGTTTTCAGACTTCCCTGCTCAAGAGCGACTGGAAAACGCCAGTGCCTGAGCGGTGCTGGCACTGCCGACAGCAGAACCACCCCATCCCGGCTCTGCGAGGCAGCGCGGCCGGAGGGTCGGCGGGCCAGCCGTTCTCATCCCTGACAGCGACTCTGGGCTAAACCGGGACTGGCTTCTCCTCTCGAAGATGGAAGACGCCCACCTCACCTCAACCTCGGTCACGGCCCCCGAGGAGCTGGCAGAGGAAACCACTTTCCCAACGGGACACGGGAGGAAGCTCGCCAGGTCCCCCTGCACCGACCGAGGACGGGTGCTCACCTGACTGTGGAGTCGCTGCAGCTCCTCTAGGCTTTGCCTCAGTTTACCCCTCTCTCCCTCCATGAGTTCCCTTAGGGCTCGCGAGTCCTCGCTGGTCTGCCTTATCTGTTCTTCTAAGGAGTCATCCTCAATCCTCCGGGAGCTCTGACAGCAAGACCGAGCGAGCCAGCCAAGCAGGGAGATGGCGAGTGGAGAGATGGTCAGAGGTGAGGGTGGAGGGGAGGGACGAGGCGGCCAGCGGAAAGATGGTTCCGTTCGGGGGAGAGAAAGAGAGCAGGAGGCGGGACAGAGAGCAGGACGGAGAGAGAGAAGAGACAAAGCAAGGAAGGAAGGTTAGAGGAGAGAGATTCTCTAGTCAGCAAGCAGCAGCTAGATATGTACTTCTGTTGTTTCAGGCGTCAGGGAAGGTTGTGTGGCGTAAACAGCCCACGTCCCCCAACCGCTCCCTCTGCCCCCCACGACCCAGTCTCCGTATTGTAACCCATCCCACAGGTCCACGCGGCTCGTGCAGCTAAGGATGGCCAGCCTTCCATCCTCCTTCACAGCTACTCTATAAAACCCGAGCAGAAACAGCCGAGAGAGAGAGAGAGAGAGAGAGAGAGAGAGAGAGAGAGAGAGAGAGAGAAGAGGCCGGCAGCAGGCGGTCCCGGAGCCAGGAGCAATGCCAGCCTGCCAGAGCCTCGGCACTGCCCCCTCCTGCACAGAGGAGCCGCATCTGGGATTCTAGAAAGCCCTGCTGTGGATCGTCTCACCCCCGTGCTCACTCAGACACCCTCAGCAGAAGTTCTGGACCTCCCCCCTGTGCCTGTGCACAGCTAACCCACCCCGAGGACCAACGGGCTACAGGGAGGTAACCTGCAGTGTTTACCTGGACCCAAAGCCCTGTCTTCCAAGCTTCCCAGGAAATCCCAGGCACTTGAGCCCATGCCTGCTCCTGCTGCACGGAGAGAGGGTCCCGGGACCTCCGGCGCCCTGGCTCTCAGCCCTCCTTGCTCTCAGGACTTGGTCTCAAGCTCCCACCAGTCAGGTCCTGCAGGGGACGGGGCCACCCCGCTCAGCCCGGCCTCTTACCGGGGGCTCCACGCCATCCACGATGCTCTGGATCAGCCTCTTGAGCTCGCTGAGGGCCGTCCGCAAGCTGCCGGCTGGCACGTCCTTGGCAGACGAGGTTTCCGAAGACTCGTCCATCGAGGAGTCCGTGGAGACGGCCGAGTCGGCACTGTCGTTGCCTCGAAGGTGGGAGCAGAGGTAGCGGACCTGGCAGTAGGCCTCCCAGAGCTGCAGTCTCAGCTGCCCCACGAAAGAATTATTCTCGGTTACGGCTCGAGAGAGTGCTGCCACCCGCTCATCTTTTTCTAGTAAGTGAACCCAAGTGTCTAAGATCCTGTTCTGGCAGAAATTTTTTTTTAAAAATCACCTGTTCCAAAAGTATGGATAGTTCTATGGGCCCCGGACATCTATACAGAATCCCAATTCTTATGTTCCCTGCCCTCGAGCCCCTCCCATCTGCCAAATAAAGCGCTTCTCTCCCTAGGCGGCTGCTCTGGGGGAGTCAGTGCACAATCCGATCCGGAAGGAGTGGTTATGAGAAGCAGCCAGTGGGCGATCACGAATGACCTAGGACCCTGTCCGTGTGAGAGGTGAGGCTACGACCAGTGAACAAGCATTCCTACGAGGCTCCGGCCAGCAGGCCTAGCGGCTCCCACAGGCTCCCACTGAGGCAGTGGGCGCCGGGCAGCAGGGGGACGGCGGGGCGCCCAGGCAGGGCCCGCCCGGGTCACCCGCGATCCCCACGTGCCGGAGCGGCAGGGTGGGGGGGGGGCGGCACCTGCTCTCTCTCCTGCTCCAGCTCCTCGGCCTCCATGCTCTGCTCGATCTCGGACAGGAGGGACGTGCTGGTGGCGGCCGAGCTCTGCAGGCTCCTCTCCTCGGTGAGCTCCTCCACCTTCCCCTGCAGCTGGCGGCAGGAGAGCCGCACCTCCTGCAGCTCCAGCTGGCTCTGGTGCAGCTTCCGGGGAGACAGCACAGGGGCCGTCAGGCCGGGGCCACAGGGAGCCCGGCCGGAACCGCCCGAGCTCCTCCCTCCAACCAACTACAGACAAATGCAGGGAAGGCAGAAGCATGCTGGGTTACCCCAGGGGGACAGAGTCAGCGACACTCGGATTTGGGGAATCCCACAGGACAAGCAGCGCAGGTTCTTCCGCAGACACATTTCAAGGAAAAAAAAGATAAAGGGGGGAACCTGTAGGTTAAAGAGATTTAAGAGACACCAACCGACTGCCATGGGTCGGCCTACTTTAATTTGTACCTTGATTCAAACGAAAAACATAAAAAGCAATTATGATTTTGTAAGACAATTGAAAATGTGAACCCTGACTGGGTATTTGATGATATTAAGAAAATATTGCTAATTTTTTAAGTACAATAGTCCTGTGGTTATATTTTTCAAGTTCTTATCATTTAGAGGTATTTGTTATTTGCAGATGAAATCATAAAAATTCTGGGATTTACTTTAAAACAATACAAGAGGAGCGAGTGGATGTACGGAGGACTGGCAGGGGCCGGTGGTTTGTAGGGCGTGGGGCATCGTCACACTCTTGTTTCTGAGTGCACCTGAAATTCTCCACAGTAAAAAATTAAACACACACACATAAAGGTAAAATACCAGAACATGGCTAAGACAAATAAATAATAGGAAAATAATATCACGTGTTGATGAAGACGTGGAACAACTGGGACGCCCACAGCAGGTGGGGTGGAAGATGTAGCCTGGAAACCCGTTTGGCAGTTTCTAATGAGTGAAATACACACCTATCCTATGACCAGCAATTCCACCCTTTTTTTGTTAATCCTCATCTGAGGATGTTTTTTTCCAGCGATTTTTTTTTGAGAGAGGAGGAGAGAAAGGAGGGGTGTGGGGGGGAGAAACACCAATGTGAGAGAGACACATCCATTGGCTGCCTCCTGCACCTGCAACCCGGGTACATGCCCTTGACAGGAATGGAACCCATGACCCTTTGGTGTGTGGACCGAGGCTCTAACCACTGAACACACCGGCCAGGGCAGCAGTTCCATTCTTACAACACAAATGACCAGGCGTGTGCCCGAAAAACAAGCAGGATGTTCACAGCAGCATTTTCCCTGAGAGCCACAAGTGGGAAACCATCCAAATGCCAGGAAAAATAGAATGGCTATACCAGTGGTCGGCAAACTGCGGCTCTCGAGCCACATGCGGCTCTTTGGCCCCTTGAGTGTGGCTCTTCCACAAAATACCATGTGCGGGCGCGCACGTGCAGTGCAATGAAACTTCGTGGCCCATGCGCAGAAGTCGGTATTTTGTGGAAGAGCCACACTGATGGGGACCAAAGAACCGAGTGAGGCTTACCCAGCAAGCAGTTCGCTGACCGGAGGGGTGTGTAAAACATCGAGCTATCGAAGCTCGCAGCACTACTACATGCCACACACGGAAGAAATTACATAGACGTAATGGTGGGTAGATACAGC